TTTATACAGAAGGGGTTACTAGCCACTTGCTCCTGGCATGTTAGTTGCCTCTTACAACATGCATGGCTTACGGAGGAAGAATTCTGTTTCACTTTCCCATGGAGATAAGCCAAAATAATAAAGAACAAGAACTAGTAAGAAAATAGGAAAGAACCCAGATGGGTGTGTATATATATTCTTGTACACGCAAGTGTAGTGTGACCTAAGTGTAAATAGAAGTAGGAAATCTTGCATGTTTATGAGACAAAAAAAAAAAAAGACACACCAGCAGTCCTATCATCACATAAAATAGTTACAGGCTTCTGTTTCACACTCACTTGGCAGGATGGTAGTAGCTCCCTGGGTTGTTGCAGTCTGCCAACCTACTACCTAGGGTGTGTGTGTGTGTGTGTGTATATATATATATAAACAAAAATGTGCAGGCTAAAGTTGAAACAGTGGTGACATGTTCAAACTGTTGTTTACAAGGAACAACCTGAAACTCAAGATTGGTAGCACATGTTTTGTTTAGTTTTATATTTTTAGTGATTAGTGGGAATGTTTAAAAGATTGAAGAATAATATCAGATAACCAATTGGTTAGAGTGAGATAAAACAGGCACAGTAAGAGAAGTGATGGGGTGGTTATAAGAAATTTTGAATTGAGGTATGCTATGAGAACAGTGGTATGTACAGTATTGAACATTAAAATGGTATAAAATACCGACAGGTTGTTAGGTAAGACACATATGCAACAGTTAGGTATCTTTATTTCGAAACGTTTCGCCTACACAGTAGGCTTCTTCAGTCGAGTACAGAAAAGTTGATAGAAGCAGAAGAGACTTGAAGACGATGTAATCAGTCCATCACCCTTAAAGTTTTGAGGTGGTCAGTCCCTCAGTCTGGAGAAGAGCACTGTTCCATAGTCTGAAACAATATTGTTTCAGACTATGGAACAATGCTGTTCTCCAGACTGAGGGACTGACCACCTCAAAACTTTAAGGGTGATGGACTGATTACATCATCTTCAAGTCTCTTCTGCTTCTATCAACTTTTCTGTACTCGACTGAAGAAGCCTACTGTGTAGGCGAAACGTTTCAAAATAAAGATACCTAACTGATGCATATGTGTCTTACATGTACAGTATTATACTTTTTAAGACTTTATTTTATTTTTTCTCTCTAAAATGCTTCTTTTAGGAAAGTGAGATACCCAAAAATCGTAAATGTACAGACCTATTTTTTGTGCCTACAATAATCTAAACCACTGGGACCACCTCGAGTACTAGGGGTGTATAATACTCTCAGGTGTCAAAAAGAAATATGCAGTGCTGTATATATAATGTATACACAGCAAATACTTTAAACTCATGTTCCTAATCTGCCTACTAAAATATTAAATGTTAGTGTATCATAAAGCTTTTTAACATTTCCAGTGGTTATGCCATTCACTGCTTTCTCTTGTAAACCATTCCATTGATCTACCAGAGTTTGTGAAGAAAAAAAGCTTTTTGTGTCCTTTGGCAACTGGTCTCTTGTTAGCCAGTTTATTGGGTTAGGAAGTCTTCCTTGTCGATTGCTTTGTATCCTTTTATAATCTTGAATGTAGTTACCATGTCTCCTCCTTAACTCCCATTAGTCAAAGATGGCATCTCCACTTCCTAATAATTGGGAAGGGGGCTTCATTTTGGAAGACCCTCCCCAGGCCTAATATTAATTTAACAGTGAACTAGTACATGCAGTAGTTTACAATACTGAACATCTATACAAAAAGATTAAATTTAAGTAAAATAGTGCAGAATAGAATCATACATTATAGTAATTTATCTGAACTAGACATGACCATCAGTATAACAGTTCCAGAAGTTTCATTTGGAGGGTCACCAACTAAAGGCTGGTCTTCAGATCAAACCTGATTACCTCCAGATTCCCAGGAGCTGTATTGGGTTTAGTGTTTTCATATGAATATTATATTTGTAATATCTCTTGAATGTGGTGAGGATGCCCAGGTTCTTGGCTAGATCAAAAAGCTGGTGTATGGAGGCAGTGATATCACTTTAAAATCTAGAGTTATTGTGTCCTGGGGCATTGTTGAGGAGTAGCAATGTTAGAAGGCAATTTTCTTATGACTATATGGTTTATTCATCAGTATAGAAACTCTTAAAAACCAGTCAGTGAACATTTCAGAAGTCACCCAAGCTTTTCTGTTTGCTTCCCAGTGGACTGTTAGAGCAGCCTTGGTGAGACCTTTCATGGCATGGGGATTCTGTGAATGGAATACCAATAGAAATCCTTACCCATTATTACAGTAGTGTTAGCATGTCTTTTGTAGCTTTGAACCCTGGAACTCTCTTTTCATTTGAAGTGAATGTCCTGCTGATTATTTACTTCCAAAATAGAGATAGTTTTACCAGAGTTAAATACATGCAGTGTTGTGTGCCCAAACCATCCACCATGTTGTTTAATTCAGGTGGGAATGCTATGGCAACATGAGTCAGCATTAACATCCTTATCTTTGAATTATGTAGTTGCTGATGTTTTGAAATTTGTTTGAACCAGTCACTGTTCACCTTGAAATCTACAGACCCTCCATCTCTCTCCTGTAGTTGATTAGACAGTTTCAGTAACCACCACAATGATACTTTAACATATGCTTTGTATTTTGATTGACATCTCACACTAAAAGCATGCTTATCAATTATTTAAATACCAGTATATTAATATTTTAGTTTTAATTATATCCTTTGCCAATACTGGTGTTGACACATTTATGGAATTTAATTTATTTCTATATTTTTCTATACTGTGTGTTGTATGGCCCTTATTGCTCTAGCACATCACCACAAATATACTGTAATAATAATCCTTACAGCATATATAGTTGACTCATTCATCCCATACATACCGCCTTGTGAAGCATTTGTCTCGTCCACTTTTACAAAACCTATCCTAATATTTTCAGTCTTTGAAATGTGAACAAAATCTGTACTGTACAGTACTTAGGCTCGCTGGGAAACACTCGAGGAAAATTGTGACGAGACATGTTGATGCTCATTGCACAGATTATGATGGCCAGGCCTCAGGAACATGTAACAAGACACGAAGCTTGATGCACAAATTATGTTGGTTGAGCCTCAGTGGCACTAATTTATTTTCTACAAGTGTTATATGATATTTAAAAAGGAAAAAATGCACTTGTGTACAGTCAGCCCCTCTCCCAACACCTGGAATATGTTCCTGAAAATCTATGCTCCTTACTTTGGTGGGAGATGGCCTGTGCGCTAAAAAAAAAAAAAAAAAAAAAAAAAAGAGAGAATATGGGAAAAATGGGGTTGTTTCAGGAACCTCCAAATTTACCTAGTACTTTTATGTGTTGTGTATGCAAGGTTGTTAGTAGTTGAGGGTTGTACTGTGGTGCTCAGGTATTCTGTAGTACATTTCTGGTTTCTTTTTATCCTGCAGTACTGTACTGAGCTAGTGAAAAGGAATCAGTGCTTTCTCCGGATTCCATTTCAGAGAAAGGTTCCTGGATGTGTTGAGGGGGGTCATCTTTGGTGAAAAGGACTGCAACTTACCAATAACATAGAATTGCCTACAATATAACTGTTGCAGTGTTATCTGAATAGCACATAATTCTTTGTTACTAAGCTCTAAGTTTATAATTGATGATTTATTACATTCTCACTCGAGATACCTCTTTAACATATTGATATATATATATATATATATATATATATATATATATATATATATATATAATATATATATATATATTATATATATATATATAAAAAAAGAAACCATCGCATTGAGATATTAGTTAGATATTTGTATACTGTGGCAGTTTCAAGAGTAGAAGAACTCCAGGAACTGATTGCAGATATTTCATTGCATCATAGACCATTCATTCTTTTTCTTGGTAATTCACATCACCCTGGCTATAATGATTTTTGTTTATTTTTTATTGTTATTTCTCAGTTATTGCCATTATTTTATTGTATATTAAGTAGTCCTTCATTCAATCAGAATCTTTTCAGACCCATGAATTTATTAAACTGTTGGTTATATTTACTTATAAACATAATTTTTCCACCTAATGTTTGGATTTCTACTGCTAAAATTTATAGATAGTTCATTAATAACAAAAAAGGCACAATACTGTGACTGGAACGATACACAAATAACCCGCACATAAGAGAGAGAAGCTTACGACGACGTTTTGGTCAGACTTGGACCATTGACAAAGTCACACCATTGACTTCGGATATGTTAATCTAGGTTTAGTTAGGTTAACATGACTCACGAAATCGTAATGACACGATTTCAAACAAACCATACCATGGGTGGGGTTTGAACCCAAGTCGGACCGAAACGTCGTCGTAAGCTTCTCTCTCTTATGTGCGGGTTATTTGTGTATAGATAGTTCATACCCGGGAGTTTAATATGTCATAGATAGTATTTTATTGACACACTGTAACTGCTTGACTGTCTTCTCTGAGAGTTTTCTTGCTTCTCATTACTATATACAGCATCCATGTTTGTGCATAGTTTTTTTTCTTTTATAAATTAGTTTGCTTTGGTGTGATATTTTTATCTTTTGTTCTTATGTGGTCTTGTTGGTTTCTTTTTAATTTTCCCCATTCAGTTCCTTGATTACCATCTGGCTGGTGGTTTCACATCAGTTTACTTTTTTAGCTTTTCCTATAGTATTTTCTGTGATTGTGGCTCTGTGTTCTTTTGTTAAATCTGGTCAAATAGTTGTAGACTTGCAGTCTTTGGGTGTTTTTCATTTTTTTCCTTAGTTATAATTTGTAAGTGGTTTAAAGGCCTGTTTTTGGTTTCATATCTTTGCTTCTCTTTGTTTTTTTCTATGCCTGTCAATGTGTGTGGCAGATTTCTTGTTTCTACACATTGTAAATTATAATTGTGCAGTTTTAGCCTTTACTTATATTCATTATTATTACAGTATTACATATATGAAACTATATGAAGCTAAAAATGTAATTATTTGCTAACTTTGTAGTGTGTGTGGAGGATCTGGAGACTCCTGGGAGGAGGCAAGAGCTGGTGAACAGGAGGTTCTGGTAGTGTTGAAAAAGGACCAGCTGGATAAGGCCAGCAAAGATACACATCACAAACTCTTACCCGAAGACTTTCAGGTTAGCAGATGTATCCTTGTGTTTGTAGCTCTGCTTGTGAGGTACACATAGGTATTGTAATAGTAAGTCGAGACAAAAAAGTCAAGCTTTGCATAGGGAGAGGGCATATATGATGTGGATAGAGAAGGTATGTGATAAGATTGGTAGGAAGCAGGGTTACTTACAGCAACAATAATAATGTTAAAAGTATTAACTAATACACTAGTAATGGGAAATGTTGAGTTGTCTTTTAATTTTGGAATCATGAGTAAAACTTGCAATAGGTGTATTTTGAAGTTTTTTCTGTTTCTGACAACTCGTTTAAATATGTTGTGACTTTAAATGCTCATGATTTTTGTGTTATCCAGATTGAACTGTGGTGGATGGTGACATATGTAAACAAAGGAGGTAGCAATGTCTTAGAATCTAGAGAAAGTGGATCTACTCCAAGCACCATCACACCATCAGGCTCGTCATCAGACACAGACGATGACGACGATGACGAAGAAGACGAGGACTGGGACTCAGGTAGGAGGTATATCTCTCTCCGGATACTTAACTTACTTGCTCCTCTGTGTGGTTCTCTATTGCATCTCTCTCTCTATTCCTGGAACTTTTTTTTTTGCAGTTTAATTTAGTGTAAAGTACAGTACTGCTACTTTAAAAATTGTGATTCTAGTTACGTGCTTGCTGTACTCCTGTCCTGATGCTTACTGTAATAACATTGTATTATCATATTTATTAAAGTGTGTGATGGACAATATTTAAGTATTTTTTGTAATTTTATTTGTTCACCTATTATAGTAGCAACAACAGTTCTTTTAAGAACTGACTTCCATTTCTAAGACCAAAAAATCTTCAATATATTGTAATTATCTTTAGTTTTGCTTCAGTATTGTCACTGCTGGTTTTGTAAATCCATTGTATTTATATTTTCATCAGTTTTAATCTTATTCAGTAATATGCTAGTCTTCATTTTCAAGTTTTTTCTCATGAAAATCAATAATGTGACATAAATATTCTTAGTCATAGTTTGACTAAATAATGATGCTAAATTCATCAAATATATCTTGTACTTTGCTTAATATTTTGATCAGTGCAAATTTCTATGGCAAGTTATCCTTTCCACACCGTTAATTCTTGTGTGTGTGTAACTATATGTAATGTCATTGTATAATTATTGTGTTGCATTGCTCATTTCTGCTTGTCATTGTATTTTTTCCCTGTATACATTATATTTGGATGTTATTTCCAAATGTCTACTTGAAGCTACTTGAAGAAAACTTAACACTGATGCTTATGTTAATATTCTCTGTAACTCTTGTACTACAGTCCTCTACTTTAAGACTACACAAGAATCTTCATATTGTATTTCTCTACAATATATATATTATTATTTTTTAAGTAGAAGGAGAAACAGTCGTGTTTATTTATACCAATTAGTTTGCTTTATATTGCTATATATATTTGCTATATATTGCAGTGTTAAAAATATTTAGAATAATAAATTTATTTTGAGTTGATAGAGAAGCCAATAGATAAAAAATTTCATTTAATATTATTCTGCCCTAAATTATAGTTTTTCTATGGAACCTGTAATTAAAACTACTAATTTAATTAAAAATTGTTTATATAAATTGCTGATATTAATAATATTTTATTGTAACACCATTGTACTTGAATTTGTTAATACTTTACCTTAATTGTACCTTATAGGTACATATTTATATGTACAGTACATGCTGTATGTACATATTATATGTACATATGTATATGCTTATGAGGTTAATCATGGAATTGATGAGGGAAAAAAAGGCGAGTGGTGCGTTGAGGTATATGTGGAGACAAAAAAACGTTATCTATGGAGGCAAAGAAGGGAATGTATGAAAGTATAGTAGTACCAACACTCTTATATGGGTGTGAAGCTTGGGTTGTGAATGCAGCAGCGAGGAGACGGTTGGAGGCAGCGGAGATGTCCTGTCTAAGGGCAATGTGTGGTGTAAATATTATGCAGAAAATTCAGAGTGTGGAAATTAGGAGAAGGTGTGGAGTTAATAAAAGTATTAGTCAGAGGGCTGAAGAGGGGTTGTTGAGGTGGTTTGGTCATATAGAGAGAATGGATCAAAGTAGAATGACATGGAGAGCATTTAAATCTGTAGGGGAAGGAAGGCGGGGTAGGGGTTGTCCTCGAGAAGGTTGGAAGGAAGGGGTAAGGGAGGTTTTGTGGGCGAGGGGCTTGGACTTCCAACAGGTGTGCATGAGCGTGTTCAATAGGAGTGAATGGAGACGAATGGTATTTGGGACCTGACGATCTGTTGGAGTGTGAGCAGGGTAATATTTAGTGAAGGGTTGGTAGGTTGGTAGACAGCAACCACCCAGGGAGGTACTACCGTCCTACCAAGTGAGTGTAAAACGAAGCCTGTGATTGTTTTACATGATGGTAGGATTGCTGATGTCTTTTGTCTGTCTCATAAATATGCAAGATTACAGGCATGTCTTGCTACTTCTACTTACACTTAGGTCACACTACACATACATGTACACATTTATTTATACACACTCATCTGAGTTTTCTTTGATTTTATCTTAATAGTTCTTGGTCTTATTAATTTTCCTTTTATATCCATGGGGAAGTGGAATAAGAATCTTTCCTCCGTAAGCCATGCGTGTTGTAAAAGTCAACTAAAATGCCGGGAACAATGGGCTAGTAACCCCTTTTCCTGTAAAGATTACTAAAAAGAATAAGAAGAAGAAAATTGTCAAAGTGGGAAGTCTGAATGTGCGTGGATGTTGTGCAGATGATAAGAAAGAGATGATTGTGGATGTTATGAATGAGAAAAAGCTGGATGTCCTGGCTTTAAGTGAAACAAAGCTGAAGGGGGTGGGAGAGTTTCAGTGGAGAGGAATAAATGGGATTAGGTCAGGGGTTTCAAATAGAGTTAGAGCTAAAGAAGGAGTAGCAATAATGTTGAAGGATAAGCTATGGCAGGAAAAGAGGGACTATAAATGTATTAATTCAAGGATTATGTGGAGCAAAATAAAGATTGGATGTGAAAAGTGGGTTATAATAAGCGTGTATGCACCTGGAGAAGAGAGAAGTGTAGAGGAGAGAGAGAGATTTTGGGAATGTTGAGTGAATGCGTGGGGAGTTTTTAAATCAAGTGTGAGAGTAATGGTTGGTTGGGGATTTTAATGCTAAAGTGGGTAAAAATGTTATGGAGGAGTAGTAGTAAATTTGGGGTGCCGGGTAAATGTAAATGGGGAGCCTTTAATTTGAGCTATGTTAGAAAAAAATTTTGTAATAAGTAATACATATTTTATGAAAAAGAGGAAAAAATAAATATACAAGGTATGATGTAGCACTTTAATGAAAGTAGTTTAATTAGATTATGTATTGGTGGATAAAAGGTTGATGGGTAGGCTCCAGGATGTACATGTTTATGAGGGGCAACTGATAATCGGATCATTATTTATTTGTGTACAGTTAGAGTAAGAGGTAGAGGGGAAAAGAGGAAGGTGGCAACAACAAGTAAGGGGGAGGTGAAAGTGTATAAACTAAGGGAGGAGGAATTTTCGGGTGAGATATAAGCGACTATTGGCAGAAAGGTGGGCTAGTGCAAAGAGGGAGTAGTGGGGGGGTTGAAGGGGGTTTGGAATAGTTTTTAAAAATGCAGTATTAGAATGTGGGCAGAAGTTTGGGGGTTTTTAGGAGGGTGGGGCGGGAGGAAAGAGGAGTGATTGGTGGAATGATGAAGTAAAGGGTGTGATAAAGAGAAAAAGGTAGCTTATGAGAGGTTTTTACAAAGCAGAAGTTTTTATAAGAAGAGCAAGTATATGGAGAGTAAAAGAAAGGTAAAGAGAGTGGTGAGAGAGTGCAAAAGGAGAGCAGATAAATAGAGTGGGAGAGGCACTGTCAAGAAATTTTAATGAAATAAGAAAAAATTTGGAGCGAGTTAAACAAGTTAAAGAAAGCCTAGGGAAAATATGGATTTGTCAGTTAAAAACAGAGTAGGGGAGTTAGTAGATGGGGAGATGGAGGTATTGGGTAGATGGCGAGAATATTTTGAGGAACTTTTAAATGTTAAGGAAGAAACAGGGGCAGTAATTTCATGCACTGGTCAGGGAGGTAACCATCTTTTGGAGTGAAGAAGAGCAGAATGTAAGTGTGGGGGAGGTACGTGAGGCATTACGTAAAATGATAAGGGGGTAAAGCAGCTGAATGATGGGATCATGACAGAAATGGTAATAAAAACAGGGGGGATATAGTGTTGGAGTGGTTGGTACTTTTGTTTAATAAATGTATGAAAGAGGGGAAGGTACCTAGGGATGGCAGAGAGCATGTTAGCCCTTTATATAAAGGGAAAGGGGACAAAAGAGACTGTAAAAATTACAGAGGAAAAAGCTTACTGAGTATACCAGGAAAAGTGTACGGTAGGGTTATAATTGAAAGAATTAGAGGTAAGACAGAAGTAGGATGCGGATGAGCAAGGAGGTTTAAGAGTGGGGAGGGGATGTGTAGATCAGGTGTTTACATTTAAGCCCTATAGTGAACAGTATTTAGATAAAGATAGGGAGGTTTTTATTGCATTTATGGATTAAAAAAAGGCATATGATTTGAGTGGATAGAGGAGCAATGTGGCAGATGTTGCAAGTATATGGAATAGGTGGTAAGTTATTAAATGCTGTAAAGAGTTTTTATGAGGATAGTGAGGCTCAGGTTAGGGTGTGTAGAAGAGAGGGAGACTACTTCCCGGTAAAAGTAGGTCTTAGACAGGGATGTGTAATGTCACCATGGTTGTTTAATATATTTATAGATGGGGTTGTAAAGGAAGTAAATGCTAGGGTGTTTGGGAGAGGGGTGGGATTAAATTATGGGGAATCAAATTCAAAATGGGAATTGACACAGTTACTTTTTGCTGATGATACTGTGCTTATGGGAGATTCTAAAGAAAAATTGCAAAGGTTAGTGGATGAGTTTGGGAATGTGTGTAAAGGTAGAAAGTTGAAAGTGAACATAGAAAAGAGTAAGGTGATGAGGGTGTCAAATGATTTAGATAAAGAAAAATTGGATATCAAATTGGGGAGGAGGAGTATGGATGAAGTGAATGTTTTCAGATACTTGGGAGTTGACGTGTCGGCGGATGGATTTATGAAGGATGAGGTTAATCATAGAATTGATGAGGGAAAAAAGGTGAGTGGTGCGTTGAGGTATATGTGGAGTCAAAAAACGTTATCTATGGAGGCAAAGAAGGGAATGTATGAAAGTATAGTAGTACCAACACTCTTATATGGGTGTGAAGCTTGGGTGGTAAATGCAGCAGCAAGGAGACGGTTGGAGGCAGCGGAGATGTCCTGTCTAAGGGCAATGTGTGGTGTAAATATTATGCAAAAAATTCGGAGTGTGGAAATTAGGAGAAGGTGTGGAGTTAATAAAAGTATTAGTCAGAGGGCAGAAGAGGGGTTGTTGAGGTGGTTTGGTCATTTAGAGAGAATGGATCACAGTAGAATGACATGGAAAGCATATAAATCTATAGG